CAAGACGAAAGTTTTTTTTCACTATTATTATCTCCGTAAAAAAAATCAATGCAGCTTATCAAAGTGAATAAAGAAAGAAAATAGGAGCAACTAAAAAAAAACAAGAATTCGCCGACATCATCATCATCATTAGAAGTGGTAATAGTGATAACATCCATTGTTATATTTTATTGGTCCGATAACATACACCTCTGTTTTACTGGTCGATTAGTTTTCAGTCCAGTTTTGTTTGAACATGCATGCATCATTTGGTTCCTTTCATCATCATCATCATCATCATCCTCACCGATATTGTTATTTCAAAATGATGGTCCAAAGGTGAAATTATTGAAGTATTTTTTTTGCAAAGAAAAAAATTCCATATGGCGCCCAAGGAAACATTTTATATTCAAGTAGTAAAAAAAAACACACACACACACATGCACAATATATAATAACGATAACAAAATTGACATCATTCATATGGAAAAAATTGATCATCAAATCTTCCGCCATCGGTATACGATAAAAAAAAATCTATACTTTAGTAGATTCTAAAGTGTTCAAAATGATGAATATGAGAATGGATAACAAAAAAAAAAAAAAAAAAATAATTTCCTACCAAACCATATTTACTTTTGTTTCTTTTCTTGTTTTTTTTTCTTTCATTCTTTTTTTTTATTCAGCTATGAAAATAATGATGGGCATAAAGAATTTATATATTTTTTTTCTTAGAAGTGAAAGCAAATTAAGTCAATCTTCACTACTTTCCACCACCATCATCATCATCACAATTATCCATAACTATTGTTGTATATTGTGTTGATGATTATTATATTATTATTACCATATAGAAAAAAAGACAGGTTCTGAAACTCGTCATTATTAAATGTATATGCATTTCATTTATATCTACTATATAGAATAGAACCGTTGATGATGATGATCACGATGATGGAAAGTCATCATTCTGTGTAAATGACTATTTGTGTGTGTGTATGGTGATTATATGATGATGGTGTTGTCTTATTGTCTTTTGCCTATCCATCCATTCATTCATTCATTCAACTGCTATATCTTGAGGATGATTTAGTGATTTTGCATTTTTTTCTTTCATATTCTACGCTGAGCCATCATCATCATCATCATCATCATCATCTCAACCGACTATTATGGTTTCCTTCATACATTTGAAATTGAATGGAAATGAATTCAATTGAATGGCTACTGGTGGCAGTGTGTGTTTATATGTGTTTAGTTCATAAATGATGGCCATGATCCATAGCAATGATGATGATGGTGTTGATGAAATAAACAGGGAAAGTAAAAAAGGGAAATGTAATGAAAGGGGGTCAACAACGACAACAACAACTAACGAACGTGTCAATATTTTTTTTGCACATTTTTTTTTTTAGCTACCATCATCACCATCTAATTCACATCCATTATAATTTGTGTGTATGTGTGTGTGTGTGTGTGAATAGAACACACATGGTTGGCGCCATTGTATTTATTTTGTGTTATAATGCAACAATTTTCAATTTCAAGGATAAGGCCAATTTTTTTTTCTGTTTTCCAATGTGGACATTGTATACAACAATTTGCATTGTGTGTATATATATGTGTGTCTCTGATGAACAATATATACATTATTTATCATTATAATAATCATCATCATCATTATCATCATCATATATTATGATTAACTAACTTTTAGTGTTTTGTATTTTTCATTTTTGTTACTCGAAATATTATATATTTATGGATTTATAAAAATAAAATTTTTTTTTTGTTTTGTTTTGTTACAAAATGGATTCCGTTTCTGGTACATTTTTTTTTGTTTAAAAAAAACGGATGAATGCATAATCACATATTCATTTCACGTAAATTCTCACTATTTTTTTTGAAACAAAATACAAATTCAGAAAAAAAAACAATAATAACAAAATAATAATGAATCCACCTAAAAACACAAACATACACACACACACAAAATAAATATCAGTATATATACCACTATTGTGTTAAGATCATGTGAGAATTGGATATTTTTTTTTTTTTTTAATATTTTTAATGATAATAATGATGCTAATTGATAACACACACACACATGCCAAAAAATGTTTACCATATTGGTGTGTGTGTGTGTGTGTTTTGTGCTAATAATAGTTTAGAAAAAAAAATAAAGTAATCTAAAATAATAGTAATGATGATGATATACAACCACTCTATAAACACATATATATATCCAAACAAAGTTGTTGTTGTTGTGTAAAAGGACAGAGCTTTTATTTATCATTTTGTTGTTGTTTCGGTGATTTATTGTTATTTGTGTTGTGTCGTTGTTGTTTTTGTTGTTGTTGTTGTTGTTGTTATTATTACACCTTCATCATCATCATCATCATCATTATAATTGTGACCAAAAACCTACAAATATAATGGATTCATTCTTTGATTCAATGCCATACTTGGATATAGATTGCCACACACACACACACGAAATGGATTCTATTTTAAAACACACACACACATCAATTGATTTTCAATTCAATTTTTTTGAAAATTTCAAGAGAGAGAGAGAGAGAGAGAGAGAGAGTGATGGAGAAAGTAATTTTACTATTATCAAAATTTTTCTGGTTAGAAATAAGTGGGATTTAATAAAATTTTTTCTCTTTCTTTTTTTTAATTAAAAAATTTCATAATCAAAAACTGATGATCTTCATATATGTTTTCAAATGAGAAGCAAAAAAAAAAAATGTGAAGAAAAAACCCGATTTTCTTGATTGACTTTTTTTTTGAATTGCTGTTGTGGTTGTAGGTTGCTGTTCTTGTCAGTTATTGATATTGATGATGATGATGATCATCATCATCATGATGATCATTATCGTCATTCTCATCAAAATTATTTTGACCATGAAATTAGGCTTCGGGCCATGAAGCATTTCAACTATAGTGCAGTAAAAAAAAATTGACAGGGTTGAAAAAATATGAATTAAAGGATTGATCATTTTTTTTCATTTTCATTAAACATTTCATTGGACCATGGAATCAAAAAAAAAAAAAAAAATAGATTACACCAGAACCACCCAGCCTCTATTGTGATTGTCATTTCTTTTCATTGCCACTGTGTTCATTCGTACAGATGATGATTCACTAATCGACAATTTTTTTTCTCTTAACAACAACAACAACAACGACGACAACAACAACAAGGATCCAAATACAATCAAAGCAACAAAAATTATCTATACTTTTGTTAAAACCAATTTACACATTGAAAGATAGATCTTTACATCTCTAATAATAATGAGATGATGATGATGATGATGGCTACAACTATAAATAAGAGTGTCAATCATATGGTAACAAAAAAAAAAAGAAGATGGTCATGGCCACCATTTTCACTAAAATCAAGAATGTATAATATTTGTTTTTGAGTTATTGTGTATGTATGTATTCAACACTTTCAATACTTAATCCAGGTGAAAAAAAATAAAAATAAAAAAAATCTGTATGTGTTATTTTCCAGAATAGAAAAAAAAATAAAAAGACGTTATTTTCTGATTATTTTTGTTATGTTAAACGAAACGATTCGAGATAAATAAATATCATAAAAAAAAATAGAAAGATAAAAAATAATGGCTGCAATAATAATAATATTTTTGCTTATATAAACAACAAACACACACACACACACACACACACAGGTAAAGGTCGATTTTGATTCTCAAATATATCTCTACATTGGAGAAAGAGAAAAAAAACAAACTAAGATTGGGTTGTTGATGATAATAATGATGACAACAACAACAACAATAACAATAAAAAAAAATAATAATAATTTGGACCCTGATGATCATATGATTTTCTCTATTTGATGTTTTTTTCCCTTTTAAACCAAATTTTTTTTTCTTTGATTTGATTTGATTACAATCATCATCATCATCATCATCATCAATGGTGAATTCGACATAGATACACTGACGACAATCATTAATGTAATGTCAGTCAGTGAGTCAGTGAGTCAGCAGGCTTCTTTATTCATTCATTTACTCTTTCTCTTTCTCCTTCTCTCGGCGACTTGGTCACCAAATCATCATATCGACTGACATAATAACGATGATGATGATAAAGGTAGAAATAATAAAAGTGAACAAGAAAAACAGAGATATATTCATGATGTGAATATGAATGTGAAATGTATGAGATCAGAAGAAGAAATAAAAACGAAACCAAATAAGAATAGAATTCAAACAGGTTTGCACCAAGGATCATCATCATCAGCAACAGGTGAAAAGTAAAAATAAAATCAGTGAAAAAAAATGAAGAATAATGAGAAGACACAAGTGTGTGCAAGTACATACCCGACAGACAACCATTTCAGTATTTCTTTTTTTTCTTTGAAGATGGAGGAGAAAAAAAATAAAACCTGAAAAAAGGTTCGCCTTTTTTTCCAACCTGAAATTAGCAAACCAACCAACCAACAATAACGATTGAAAACAGAAAAACAAATCAAGCATTACATACATTGAAGATGGATGGAAAATGAATGGCTCCTACCTACCTTTTTTGGTGAAATGATTCAGGTTTTCTTCTGTTCATCATCATCATCATCATGATGGCCAATGTTTGCCTTGTTCGATGATGATCTCTTTTCATACTTGACTGGTAAAGTGTATATAAATATCTTTTCTCTCTCTCTCTCTTTTTCTCTCTGTATTCATCACGTAATAGTGAAATCGTGAAAGTGAATTTCTAACATCACGATCAAATAATAATAATAACGAATACAAAGATGACTACCACCTCCACCTTCGGTGTGTATTTGTGTGTCCTCGAAAAACTGGATATTTTTCATTTCTTCCACGATCCAGATGCACTAAAATATCAAATGATTATGATGATGTAAATTAAAAAAAAAAAAGGGAAAAAACATGAAACCGATTTATAAATACTAGAAAAATTCAAGATTGAACAACAACTTGATTCGATGAAATTAATTAATTCCTTAGTTTTCATTTGGATATTGGAATATATCATTGATGTATTTTAAATGGTAATTAATGAGCTCATATGAATCGATTATATTGGTGTTTTTTTGTGTTTTGTTTTTAAGGTTCGTATCGGTAACATAATCGAATTCCATTGATTTGATAACCTTGATTATTGTCTATTCCAATCAATTAATAAAAGTTAAGTAAAGGAAAAGAAAGTGAATTTTGTACATTGCCAATGATGATGAATCATTCAAATGATGACCGGCATATATCGATTATATATAAAAATAGAGTCATCTTTCTCCAAGGACATCTTGTATATTGGCAAATATCTCAAATGTAAATATTTAAATTTTTAAACGAACCAAAAATGTCCGTTTATGACAAAAAAAAAAAATTATCCCTCATTTTCCTTTGAAATAAATGAAAAAAAAGAAAATTTTTAATAGATTGTGTTGATGAAAAAATAAAACTTTTAGCAAAAATAAAAAAAAAATTCGGTAATGATCAACGTCATCAAACAAACATCAATTACGATTATCATTGTTGAATAATGTAAAAAAGCCGAATAATGTGATTAATTTTTTTAGTTATTTCTTCAATTATCACACTCATTCATTATGGGTAAAGGTAATGTTTTTTTTTCTTTTTTCATTTAATCTTTTAGTATTTTTTCAATTTCAATTGGTATTCAGGTACTTTTTATTTCATTTGCCATTTTTTTTATTCAATTTCATTTCATGCCATTCATTCATTCATTCATTCTTAATTTTATCTTTTTTTGAAATGAAATTCTGATTGATATTCCAGTCGATAATTTTGATGTTAGCAATGGATGATGATGAATAAGCTTATTTTCTTTCACCAAAGAACGATGACGTCTAATATAATGATAATGATTGGTTGATGGCTGTGGCTAGTGACCAATACTTATCATATGCGCATATTATATTTTGATTTTCAGCTGTTTGTAATTTTTTTTTCCATAGAAAAAAAAGTTATCATTTTATGTTGACATAAATTGAATGAGTTAATTAGTGTTTTTTTTTCCTATTTTTTTTCAATAAAAATAATGACCAAATTTTTTTTCCTTTCCACTATCATAAATGACACGATGCGGATACAGCTGCTGCTGCTGCTGCTGATGCTGCTGTGTTTCGTTCACGCGGATACACTGTTTCACGCATACACATTGTTATGATGACATAAAAATCCAAATGTACAAGGTCAATGATAGAGATTCAATTCCGTTTAAATTCAATTCGCAATTTTTTTTTTCTATGAAACAAACAGAAACAATCAACCAAACAACCAAACAAAAATATCAGAAAAAAAAGGTTCAATGAGATAGCCAGAAAAACAAAATTGTCGGTAATTGTTCCAATGTGTATATATGAATAAACATCAACAACAACAACAACAACGACAACAACATGAAAATCATCATTATCATTATTATAAATGAAACGTAACGTATGCAATGTCCATATATAATTCACATTTACAACCACAAAAAAAACACATATCCTGTGATGATCGATTCATCATTTTCGATATTTTACATACTGACTCGTTGACTGATTCACTTAGTGAAACACTTTGAATACTGTATACACATACACATACACACACACATACACACATATATATGGTTTCAAAAACAACTATACCACACACACACACATATGTTTCCTTTTTCATTTTAATAAAAAAAAATGTTTTTTGTTATTATTGTTGTCCTCAATTTGTCAATACGATGATCGTATTTATTATTTAGGTTTCATTCATATATGTGTGTAGTTATTATTATTGTTATTATTATTATGATTGATGTTTGTCCTGAAATGAATTTTGACTGATTTTTAGTTTTATGGACATTAAAATTATATATTGGTAGGCAATAGCTGCAGTAGCAGCAAAAGCAAAAATTTTTTTTCTGCTGACTAAATCTACATAGTAGTTCCGGTGAAATTGATTCCGTTTCAATTGTTTTTCTTCTACCCATTTCCATCATCATCATCATCATCATCATCATCGTCGTGGCATTTAGCTAATGAAATGGGCAGCAAAAAAAAAATGATGAAAAAATTAATGATTATAAACATATCATCAATTCAATCATTTGAATTTTTTATATTAATTTTCAATTATTATCATTCAATTTTATTTTTCAATAATAATTCAATTCGAAAAAAAAATAAATTTATCAAATCAACAAGTAATCACATTATCACAATGTGTGTATGGTTCTATGTTTCTATGATTGGGCAAAGATCAATAATACACACACGTACACAACAACAACAACAACAACAACAACAACAATACAAAAAAAAAAAACAAAACAAAAAAATACGGTTGACAACAAAAACAAGGAAATCTTTTTCATCAATTTTTTTTCCAATCATATTATATGATATTTATCTTAACCATATTTAGCTGGTTTTATGTTTTATGATGGATTATGTTTTTTCCTTTTTCGCTCTCTCTCATTTTTCTGGCATAATTTTGTTGTTTTTTTCTGTATATTATAAACACACACACACACACAAAACACATATATTTATTGTCAAAATTAATATCTTCTCATTGGAAACCAGAGACAAACTAGACAAAAAAAAAAAAAATACCATATACCAGTAAAGCCATATAACGGTAGTGAATAATAATAATAATATTTTACCATTACACAACAACTGTATAATCAAACTTGTAGTTGACACATGTTGGAATCAGATTCGAATTGAATTGAAATTTTTCATTTTTTTTTTTTCACTTATTTTAGTAGTATCTAAATGGTTTTAAAAAAAAAAAAAATTTTCATCCCACCTTCAATGTTTATTTATATATAAACCATATCTATAATTTTTTTTCTCTTGTTTAATTTGGCTATCGATTAAATGTTAATGATCAACCAAGATGCAAAAAAAAACCGATTCGATCAATCATCGATCATTGGTTATCCAGAAATATATTTGATTAAGGTTTTTTCTTTTATCTTTTTTTTTTTTTTTGTTCTCATTATCGTCATCATTATATATATAACGAGGCCAGAAACCGATTTAACCGTCCATTTTGGATTTATTAGCGGAAAAAAATACATATATATTGAGTTTAAATTAATTCAATTCTTTGAATTGAAAAAAAAATTCCATACTTTGGATGTGATCATGTGGTTTCTTTTCTTCTTCTTCTTCTTCTTCTTTACCACATTCATACCAGATATTTTTATCCAAAAAAAAATCAAAAATCAAAAAGAAAATTTATCTGAAACAAGATGAAAAAATTCAACTCTCAATCTTTCTAACTCGGATATGGATTGAACGAAAATTATACAACAACAACAAAAAAAAAAGAATTCATCAATTGAAATATGAAAGAAGCAGAGAAAAAAATACACCATTTTATTTTCAATCATCCGAAAATAGAAGTGAAGAAAAAAAAAATTTCAACCATAAATATAAAAAGAAAATAAAACAAGTTGATCCTGGTCTTGTGATGTGTGTGTGTGTGTGGATGGGGGCGATGCAGCAAACTTTGATGAGGGGATTTAAAAATAGATCAATAGACCAAATTCAAAGCATATGGAGAGAGAGAGATCAAATTCGAAGTCGACCAATTGACAATGAAGATGATGTCATGTCAGACACTTTAAAATATTAGCAAACGAATGATAATTAGGATCCATCAATTAGCATTATCAATTTTTTTTCGGTGAATTATTATTATCAGCATCAGCTTTGATTGATTGATTGATGATTTATGACACACACATTCACACACACACACAGATTGAGATAATTTTTTACACTTTTTTTTTGTTTCATAATCATTTTCAGTTTTTTTTTTGAATTGAAAATATTTCGGATTCCGTCGTTGTAACCACCCAAATAAATTACAATTTGATTTGGTGGAGAGAATGGTTGATTTTTTTTTTTTTTTTTTTTTTTTTTACATAACCAAATTTAGAAAACAAGATAAAGACAGTGGTTTTTTTTATATTAAAAAATTTAATTGTTTCATGAAATAATCAATAATAATCAATAATAATAATAATAATAATAATCATTCAATGAATTAATCAATCAATCAAAAAAAAAAAAAAATCATTAATCAATCAATAAAGTTAATCTCAATACACACATACATACACATTGAGAGTGAAAGAGAGAATGTTTAACAAAAAAAAAAGTTCAAGTTTTTTCCATCATCATCTTCAAGTAAAAATAATGTGTGATTATATATATATATATAAAAAAAAAGAAAATCATCCAAAAAAACAAACAAACAAAAAGAAATTCTTTTTTTTTCATTGACTTTTGATGCGATCACTGTGTCATGTTGATGATGATGATGATAATGAGCCAGATGATATTATTCTGTATGCGTTTTTTTTTTTCATCGTGTGTGTGTGTGTGTGAATCAATATTACAAATTTGAAAATGTGTAGTGTTTTTTTTTGTTCATAAATTTTTTTTTCACATAATCAGTGTATCAATAACATTTGTAGGTGTGATTGTTTGGTAATAAATTCTTTTCGTTTGTTTTTTTTTTTTTTGTTCAATTGATAATAATATAAATATATATTGTGAGTGTTTAATGGGCCATCGGTGTGTGTGTGTGTGTGTGTGTGTGTGTGGATATTTGCATCATTTTTTGTTATATTATATAAATAAGATTTCGTGTGTGTGTGAATTTATAAATTAAAATGAGAGAGAAAAAAAATGTGATAATAATAAATGTGTGTAATGGATTAATATTATGTGTGTGTATGGGTGTGTGATGGGTGTGAAAATGATAAAGCAAGAACAAAAAAAAGAAAAGAAAAACAAATTGAGACACAGAAAAAAGAAAGTTGAGAGATTCCAAATTAAAAAAAAGAGATTTATCATCAATTCACAGAATGAAAAGAAATTTTAAATTTTTTTTTGCTCTGAAAAAATTCCGTTTCACCAAAAATCATCAATGTGAATGAATTGAAAATGTAGAAATTGATGAAAATCAAGATCACCTATGGTAATTTGTGTATATAATAATAAGTAATGCGTCAATTAATCCGATCGATCAAAATCAATCAATCACAACAAGCAAATCTCCAAACGATTGATAACAAACAAGCATACACACACACACACACACATCGAACATCAATAACAAACAAATGATAACACTGATATTTTAGTAAGAAAAAATAGCCAGAATGGAAACAAGAAAAAAAATATATATGATTATATCGGAAATAATCAAGGCAAATATTTTTTTTTCAATGGAAAAAAAAGAGAGCGGAGAATAGAAATGAATCAAGAATTTGATTCGATAATAATAAATACGAAAGAGTCTGAGAAAGAGAAAAAAAATTACAAATTCGTGATATATGAATTACACATGTATATAAATTCAGGATTGAGAAAGGAAAAAAAAGAAGTTTTTCATTTTCATTCCTTATCGATGAGATTTTTCACACACACATACACACACAACTACGTGTTTTTTTTCGTTGACAAAGGAAAAAACAACAATTCATCAGTCATTAATCGAAATATTTCCTTTTTTTCAATGATGATCGATGATTGAATAATATATAATGGATGGATGATAGATAGAACAAACCACACACACACACACATTACTTTGGACCCCAAGGATTGGTGTGTATCCGTTGTATGACACAATGGATTGGATGATTGTGTCAGCAGAAGAAAAATGATAATGATGATGATGAATGATTTTTCATTTCCAAATAATAATAATAATAATGATTATGAATGAGAAAAAGATGGCCAGGTAATCGACCATTGTAGAAAAAAATTATGTAATGAAAAATTACCAATAACGTTATTTTATATCGAGATATTTTGATGATAATTGAAATTCTTTCAAGATGATGATACTTTGGTGTTAGAGAGAATCGTTTTGTTTTTGTTTTATCAATGTATTCGTTCCAATTATATAATTATGTGAATGGTGATTATAATTGGCCAATATTACTATTAGTGGCAGATACAATCTTGGTGAAAGTCGGTAAACGAGGAATGTTAGTCGAACCACAACCACCACCATTGCCACAGATGACGTCCGAAGTTTGATGTTGTTGTTGATGATGATTATTTAATGTAATCGATGATTGTTGTGTTGATGTACCAGTTAAACCATTCGTAAAGAATGTAAATTTGTCATATGAACCATGGCCATTATTATAACCACTGCTATTTGGTGGTGATGAATTCAATGATGAAGATGATGATGACATTGTAGACATTGAAGATGTTGTCGAAAATGAACTCGATATGGGACTGAAATCGATTGACGTCATCAATGATGATGCTAGTGGTGGTGGTGGTGGTGGTAGTTGTGGTTGCTGTTTTTGCGGTGGTTGTGATGATAATGAGGGTGATGGTAGATGTTCACCCAATTTTAAGGCTTCAATTTCCGAAGCAACACTATCTACAGGAGATTCGGGTGATGATGGATAGAATAACATATGATGTTGTTGTTGCTGTGGGCATCCAATCGGAATCGATGATTTTTGAAAGCAATGTTCATTAATATGATCGTTAAATGATGCCATTCCAATCATTTCATCAAATGAAACTAATGGCTGATCAAATGATGTTGGACTTGATCCACAAGAACCGGAACCAAACAATTGTGAAATGACACTATTCGTTGTTTGATCAATGGCAATATTATTGTTGGTAGTACGATTAACAATTGGTTCAGGTGAAGAGAAATTTGAATTACATCCATTATGATCATTATTATTAGTACCAATAAATATTGATGATGTTTTCTGATGGCTACCGTTTCCATTTACAAAATTTAAATTGGCATTAGCATTGGTGGTCACATTTTGTTGCTGTTGATGGTGGTGGTTATTATTGTTTGGATTAAAAGCTTCGAAAGCACTATCTGGTGAAAATGAGAATGTTTTTGAGCTAATCGTTGAATAATTGTTGTTGTTCGATGAAGACATTCTTGAGTTTGAATGCATTCCATGCATTGAATTCAATGCAAATGCAGTTTCTTCACTGAAAAAACTATTCAATGATGTTGGGCTACCACTTTGGCTACTTGGTGATGATATTTCTCCAGATGATCCAAGGCTATAGCTACCCAATGATAATGCTTTTGGTCTTACAAGATTTGCATTTGTATTATTCGAACCGAATGGTGGTAATTGATTCGAAATCAATGAAAGGCCAATACTTGGTCCACTTGACTGTGATTGAACCAATTGATGATGATTGGCAATCATATTTCCAATCGGTAATGGATCAAACAAACGTGAATTCGAACCAATAGACGATGGTATCTGTGTTAAACTTTTCTTTGATTCATCACTATTATGAATGAAATGACATCTTGGACCATATGGACAGAATCCAGTTGAATGAAAACTTTTACAATTTTCTGTCTTAAATTTTGGATGTCTTGTAATCGTACGTAATTCTTCATCACCATGTGCAAATTGACATTTATCACCATATTTGCAATGACCAACTTCAGCAAAACTTCGACATAATTCGGTTTTATAACGTGATGATGTTTGCTGTTGTTGTTGTTGTTGCTGCTGCTGTTGTTGCTGTTGAGATGATGATGAAATATTTTGTTGTTTTTGTTTTTCAGCTGGTTCACTATAACTTCGATCCAATTTTTTATGTGGATCAGATGAAGATTTATGATTATGATTTTGATGATTATGTCCTGATCCATTATTATTAATCGTATTTTTCGTATAATGATTGGTTATCGATGTTGCTGTTGATGATGGTATAGATTGAGTATTCACATTTTTGGAAGATGATAATGATGATGATGTTGATATCATATTATTATTACGACCAGCCAAATTATTATTTATTGTTGAATGATTATGATGTTGATGTTGATGATGATTATGGTGATTATTTGTCGTTGTTGTTGATTGTGTTGTAGCAGTTACAGTTGAACTGTTGCCACTGCTAACCGAACGACGAATTCCGCCGGACATTTTATTATTATTTAATTGCTGTTGATTATTATTATATGATGATGATGATGAAAATAATCCACCATTCGTTGTTGCTGTTGCTGTCATACGTCCAGTTGATAATTTTTGTGTATTATTTGTTGTGTTTATTGTTTTACCAATATTGTTAATTGAATGCGATGGTTGTGAATGATGATGATGATGTTGTTGCTGCTGCTGCTGCTGTTGAACAATCGATACAATGTCACCAGCTGACAATGATGATGTTGGCATACCGATAATTTGTGAATTATTATTATTATTATTGGTAGTAGTTGTTGTTGTTGTATTAGTAATGGTCGAGCCACTTGAATTCTGTAAGGAAAAAAAATGAGAGAGAAAAAAAAACATTGATTTAATAATCATTATATTAATAATAAAAAAGTATATTGGAAAAACAAACAAACTGAAAAACTTTTATCATTATCATCATCAACATCAACATTATTTACCGCTACTGTGGCGAATTGTGAAAACAATTGTGAATTATGTATCAAACAAATCAATGTTGAATTGAGATAAGTTTGCATTTTGTTCATCGTTTATATTATATTTATATTTATTATTATATTTTGTCTTTCTTTTTTGCACATATAATAATAATATTAAACACACAGACACAGACACAGACGTCAAGGATGAGAATACAATTTTTCTGTCGAAAAATACTTTCGATCACGGATAGAATATATTGTATTGGGAAAAATAATTCTTGTTTTGAATCAAATTCTTCATTCGATTTTCATCATAGAGAATATAATTTTCAACAGGGTTGTCTCATATGAATGGAATTTTTTGTGCATTATCAATCAAAATCAATGATGATGATGAAATGCATATGAAACACTGAAAAAATGGATATAAATTGGTTGAATAATAATATAATTCATATAAAACGGGACCAAAATCCAAACAGAGATCTGAAGATGGAATTATAAATGGAAATCACGTGAAACAAGAAGAAAATTTTCAAGTTCCAATTATTCAGAAAATAATTTTCATTTTATTTTATTTTTTTGAATTATAATACAAAAACAACACTTGAATATACACATTATACTAAAAGAAAAAAACACATGGAATAAAAATGATTAAAAAACGCTTATATTTATACTTCTCAAACGATCATCATCATCATCATCATCGTCGAGATGTTGATGAACAACCACTGCATATACATATACCATTGAATATTAGCAGACAAACAAAAAAAAAGTGCGTGGTACATTTGCCTGTATGACTGGTTGATTCGTTGGTTGGTTTTTATTTGTATGGTGTGCGTGTATCTTTTTTTATATGTTGGTAGGCGACGATGCAAGTCAAACACACACACACACACACACATACACCAAAAGAAAAACAGACAGCTAAAGAAAAAAAAATGCAGACGGCAAAACTAAAGCTAAACAAAAACAGAATGGTGATGATGATGATAACTACCAACAAAACAAAACAAAACAAAACAAAAAAAAATCTACACAACTTTTTTACGATGATTTTGGTTTTTGCACCAAAAAAAAAAAAAAAAAACTAGAAAAATACTACCATCAAACACCAGTGTGTATATATTAAATAAATTGAAAAGATAAACCAAAAAAAAGAAAGAAAGAAAAAATTTGATGATGAAATGAATATCTACCAACAAAAACAACGACAACGACAACAACAACACCGAAAAAAATGAAAGAAAAAAAAACGACAAAGAAAACTTTTTGTGACGACAGAATAATAAATCGATGATGAAATTCGTTTTGTTTAGTTTTTTTTTCATCATTATCATTTGTCGATCGAGACATGAATACACACACACACACACACGCACACATACCAAAAAAAAAACTGATCTGTAGATGGAAAGAGTTAAATTCATTTCTCTACCCTTTTCTACTCTGCATAAGCCCAGTCGATGATGAAATATCTGATTTGTGTTGGCAGGTACTGCTATATGTTATGTTTTGCAAAGGTATGATGATGATGAAAACTTACCTTTAAGTTTAATTCAATTGTAATAATTGTTTAATTTAATTGACAAGATTCAATTATAATATTAGGATTCGAACCTCTCTCTACAAAAAAAAAATTTATCACTATAGACTAGGTACTATCATGATGATGATGATGATAGATTCTGATGATGAAAGACAAACAAACAAAAAAATGTCAATCGTTTTTTTTCTCTTCTGAATATTCAATCAATTTTGTATATCTACATCATTGGTTGATTGCAAAAATCGAACTAGAAACGAAGAATTGTCGTTGTTGTTGTTAAAAAAAGAAAACACAAAAATAAAAATGTTGAATGTATATTTTGATTGAACGATTGATGAATAATAAATGCCGGCTGTGGCTGTTTTCGTATTGAATTTGGTCAGCTTTTTTTTTGGCTTCAAGCACTAAATGTGAAAACTAGTGGTGGCCAAATTCACTCTCATACAACACATGATATGATCAAAATTGGATCAACACACAGTCATATTATAAACTTCATTCGTCATCATCAAATGGAAAAAAAAGTGAGACAATGAGAGAGCGAGAATGAAAGAGAGAGAAAGAGAAGATGAAAATCAAAATTTGGAAAAAGTGACTGAATGAGAGAGACACATAGAGAAACATTACACACACATTAAACACATAAAAATAGCAAAATGATGGCATCGAATAGATTTTTTTTTATATATGATCATCGTCATTGATGACGATCATCATCATATATATGTTGATCTTGAACAGAAAAAAAATGATTCATATTCCGTTCAAAATCAATCAAACATCGATAAACACAACACAACAAAACAATGAAATTTTCTTTTTTTTTTTTTAATCAAATAATATTCATAAAAAAAGTTCTTATTATAAATGTAGACCGATGTAATTGATGAAATGATGTCCAAAATAACTGAATACAACAACAAAAACACAATGTATGGTTTTTGTACAATAACAACAACAAACGAAGAAACGTATATTCGAAAGGAAAACACTAACTCAATGTGTGTATGGAAAACAACAAAAATAGAAATCAAGTCTTATCATCAATGTCCATGGATGGATGGATGGATGGATAGATAGATAGATAGAACCATTGAATATTTCTTCAAAATGATGAGATGTCTCCAAATGATGAATCACATCTTAACTGGTGTTTTGGTTGGTTGATGTGTTTGTGTTTGTGTGTGAGTAGTCTCTATCTATTTTGCTACGCTATTCGTTCTCATTTTGATTCGTTCATCTCTCTCTCACATAGATTTTCTTCTCCTGAAACCCAACAATGAATTCACTCTTAAAAACCAACCAAATTACAGAGCGAGAGAAACCAAAAAACGAAACGAAAAAAAAACAAAACAAAAATTTTAAAAAGAGAAAACGAATCAGAATAAATGAACAAAATGAAAGCAAAAAAAAAAAGTAAAGAAAAGAGAATAGCCTCGATCAGGCCATTTGTATGACATCTCTACTACCACCACCACCACCACTACCAAATGAAAAAAAAACTGGATTCAATTTAAATATAAAATTTTCGATTTAGATTTCATTTTAAAAAAATTCAAATTCAGTTCATTAACTGTATATGTGTGTGTGTGTATTATGTATGATGATGATATCACAAGAACTTGGTTTCTGTGTGTGTGTCATGATAAGAGATGAATTTGATAGACGAAATCTTACAAAGAGTACTTATACACACACACATATAATTGACTGAAATGAATATATTTCAAAGATGAAACGATCCAATTGAAAATAAAAATTGGTTTATTGGTATACCATCATCACCACGACATCTCAGCCCCATGTGTGTGTGTGTGTGTGTGTGTGAATGAAATGAAATAAGATGAAATGATGAGATGGCATAGTTTTTTCTTCCATCAATTTTTTTTTTTTATTTTACAACTTAAAAAAATAGAATTCCTCACATCTATCACACATGACTTGCACACACACACACACACACACACACACATATTTTTATCTCTCTATTCGCATTGGCTTTATATCAATTTTATGCTCGAATTTTTTAATTAATTAATAATAATAATAAACAACATGATGATGATGATTTGAACAACAACAATAAAATTCATGTGACAGCAACAAGTTGTTCATCATATTGTTATGTTTTGTGTATTCAAACAAACGAAAAAAAACAAACAAGAAAAATTAACACGCTTAAGTTTTGCCTAGCTAACTTTTTCAAGGGATTTTTTTTTGTCGTTCATCATCATTATTATTTTTAGTGATACCCAAAAATAGATCAGGTTGTGCTAGAAAAAAAAATGAAACCTGTGTGTGTATGATGAACAAAATTCATTTTGGAGAGAATGATGATGATGATGATGAAGTTGAAAAAAAGATACCATGATGTTGTCGTTGTTTTTGTTGGTCGAATGAATCTAGCTCAACCTGTTCAACCTGTGTGTGTGTATGTTGGTGGTTACACTCTTGTTTTTCCTCTCTCTCTCTCTCTCTCTCTCTCTTATTCATCATACAAACACCTGAAATGTAGACACAGGTTGGTTAGGTTAACTCAACTTTTAGTTCCATCATTAACGACAACAACAACATTAAATAACTGGAAAGGTAACCTTATCATCATCACAAAGCAAAGAAAAAATCTTGAAGAAAAAAAATTTCTGACTTAAAGAGGGTGAGAGTGCTCTTTCTCTTATTATCATCATGAATGGATAGAAAAAAAGACTGTGTGTGAGAGAGAGAGAGAGAGAGAGAGAGAGTGTGTGTGTATGTGTATGTATACCAGGTAACCAGACACACAGGTTGTCTTTATAGCCAAAACAATAACGGTCATCATCGACATCGATCAATCAACAAGAAAATGCAACAAGTGTGCAATAGCACAATTGTATATATGAATATGAATGAAAGTTTTGAATGAAAGCAACAGGTATCACACACACACACATACACTATCTGATATAGACTGAATTATCTTCTGATAATAATAACAATAATAATGATAATATTGATATGCCATGCCTTTTTGTGCCTGGTGTTTTTTTTCTGTTTTTTTTTTGTTTTTCAATGATTCATTTTTCTAGAATATTTTTAAGAATAACTAGAAAAAAATACACGCAGCAGGTGAATAATAATAATTTTTTCTTCTTGTTTCAAACAATGAAATGAATTGAATTTTGGTTTAAAAAATGATTACACAGCCAGTTTAGAAATTCCATGTAAAATGATGATGATGATGGTTTTCAATCTCAGAATAAAAGAATAAAACAATCAAATACAAAGACAGGTGAGAGTTATAATGGTGAGAGAGAGAGAGAGAGAATAAGATCACAAAAATGATAGCCTTCAAAACATTAATTTCTTTTGTTTTCTCTCTCTCTCTCTCTCTCTCTCTATCTTATTGTTATTGTTTTGTTTTTCATCATTTTATAAATAACATCATGATGATCAATGCCGGTGGTACATGATATAAAGATGGGCAAAATTTTAGAAGAAAAAAAAATCAAATTGAAAATTTTTTTTTCTTCATGAAAAGAAATATTTCTGAAAAGTTTTCTCACTCAAATCGAATACAAATGAATTTGATCGATTGATCGATTAAAAATAAGTGACTATGATCATCACTATTTTACTTGCTCAAATTTTTTGGGTTGTAACCACAATATTTTTTTTTTCACAATGATTCACTTGTTCTATTTTGAAATAAAAAATTTTTTTTTTTGGTTAAATGAATTGAAAAAAAAGAAAGAAAGAGTTCATCCTCATCATCATCATCACATTTATATAACAAAAAACTTGTGTATGTGTGTGTGTGTGTGTATGTGTTTTATTTTAAAAAGAAATAAAAAAAATTATAATTCAAGTAAAACAAGAAAAAACTAGTAGTAGCTTGTTTTGGATCGTTTTCTATTATTATCTACTATCATCATCACCATCATCATCATCATCAACAACGACAACACAGTCACACGAATGGCCTAATGACAGATCATTCAG